TTTCCCATGTTCCAAAAAGAAAAGAATAAAAAGAGTGAATGTCATGTAATTTAAACTAAATTCGGTCATTCGAAACCAATTATTCAACGTAAGATTTTTATTTATTTTTATTTTTATTTTTAAATAACTATTTTTTATTTTTTAAAATAAATAAATATTTTATATTACTTTAATTTATCATTATTTATTTTTTTTAATTAATTATTTTATTAAATAAATTTTATTTTATTTTTAAATTTTTTAAAATAATATAAATATATATAAATAATTCTTAAATTCTAACTTGCAAGAAAATAAATAACGAAGGGTGTATGAGCTAACAAGTACTTCTCATCGTGTAAAAATTATATTTGGGATATGATTTTTATATAATTATTTTTTTATTTTTTTATACAATTTGACATATTATTAAAATAATTAATTTTTTAATTCATATAAATTTATGATATTAAATATATCTATTTATTTAATAATATGTAAAAATTATATAAAAAACAAAATAAAAAAATTATATTAACACCACCCATTATATTTTGGAGTCCGGCGCTTCTTTCTTAATGAATAAGAGGCATTCTTCTTTTCCCCGATTAGAATGATGCAATTATTCAAAATCTCCTACTCGAAGGAAAGAAAAACCAAAATCCCAAACTATATTTCTCTTTTACAATTACAAGATTCATAAAGTAAACCTAAATTCACCTCATTCCAAAGAAGTCTAAAAACATTAAAAAAGAAAAAAGAAAAAAGAAAAAAGGGGGGGATTTGTTTTCATCCTTGAGATGCACCTCATGGAGCAGACAGAAACGGGTGAATCAACCGCCGATGCATTGTGAAAACGAGATTACGGTTGTTACAAATAATTATGGTTGTTCCAAATAATTAGTACTACTTGTACAATTGAACAATTAATATTATAATATAATTATAACACAAAAATAGTACTATTCAACTTTATTTTAAAATAAAAGTTAGAAAAAATATTATTTTTTAAAATTATGTTATTTTAACTAATCAGTTAAATACTTAAGTGATTATCTTATTCGGTTGAAAATAAAAAATTTTGAATTCGAATCGTATAACATGTAAGTGAAATGTGATAAGAGATTATAGATAGTTGCCTTCTATCGTACAATCAAAATAAAAAAAAATTATGTTATTTTAATAAAATTTTTTAAAAAATAAAATACTTCATTTTTTAAAATATAAATTAAAATATTTTATTTTTTTATATTATTTTATTAAAATGATATAATTTTAAAATAATTTTTCTCATAATTAAAAAAAAAAAAAAACACATAAGCACTTATCCCTTATAATATATAAAATTATAAATTTACAACTCTAAATATAACATTATACCTATATTATTTTCATAATACAACTAAACATGGAAGTCCACATCAAATTGTGTGAATTATCTCGTATAAATAAAGAATTAGTTAATGCGTTGAAAATATCAATATTTTATCAGCACCATGAAAAATATAGAAAACAAATAGGATATTCATAGTTTCCATGCAAATTCTACACGCGTCTGAAATTAAAAAAAAAAAATTTACATTTCCTTCATTCCAAATAACACCTTTCTATAAGCTGAGGAATGAGGATTATCTATAAGCTGTACAAGTATGACGGGGGCAAAATAATGGATCAATGAACCCTATTCGTTGAAATCAAACGCGGATACCTCTGCTAACTCTGCTAATTCTTGCTCTCCACTCAAAACCTGGAATATGATGCGTGCTTAGATAAGTAAGAATAGAATATAAACAAAATAAGATATTGTGGCATGTTCATCCAAGATTTCAGACAATTTATATGGTAGGTTGCACCCTACATGGTAAAGGCTTATAAAAGGAGAATGACAGGCTATCGAAATGAGTTCTTGGAAAGGAAAAAGCTTCATTACCTGGCCATGAATCACCCACGTAGGGAAACCTTCTATTCCAGCATCTGCACATGCCTTGGCCATTTTAGTTCCTTTCTTATATCCATTAGGGAAGCACTCCACGTAGTCCAACAGCTTTGATGCCTCGCTTCCAAATATCTGTAAGGCACAAAGCTGACAATATTTAACGAATGTAATCTATGAAAATTGCGCATTGTTTTTTCTCAGAAAATAAGCAGTGGAATCTATCTGCTCAGACATCAACAAGGTCACATTAAACAAAGTTGCATAACAAGCGCGGTAAATTCATTCCTTTACATACACAAAGCACCAACACAATTGAATGACTGAATTGAATTAAGGAGTCTGCTGATATGATTTTTGGGGCAAAAAATTAAAATAAAAATGAAGGGGTCTGCTATACATTCGAAACCCAACTAATTGTCAGACTGATGAAACCACAGAGAATTAGACTCTCACTAAATACATTTCTATGTATATTCTCCAATAAGGTATTAATTTGGTATGGACTGAGTCCTGTTAAGGATTCCAGGTACAATGACTTTATATCTATTCATTTTCCATTTTAAAGGGTTTGGTGGTTTGACAAAATACACCATGTACCAAATGGCATATATTCATGATTTACCTAGCTGGTACTCAAAAGGCTCAACAGATAGGATAAACTTCCATAGTCACTTTCTTATAAACAAACTTTGACTCATTCCCTATGGTTTCAATATAACTTTTTAAAACAGGAATGAAAAAGAAAAATAATAAGCACCTGTTTTTGTTCTAAACAGTGAGAACACCAGAAAGCCCCATACATCTTAGCTCCAGTAGAGTGCAGATGCCTTGCAAGAGATAGAGCAAAGGGGCTTGATGTTGTTGTTATCTCAGTAGTGAAAAAGGGAAGTTCAACTTCAGCCAGGCTGCAAAGTCAAGAAAAAGACAAAAGAAGTAACTACAAATGTTATTTTGTAAGAAGGTAACTAAAGAATAACAAGAACTAAGCCAACTTGGCAATAAAACCTTCAAGGATATACTAAAAAAGGTTTCAGCGCAAGAAGAAAGAAACTCCTCATAATGTCAGTTTTACTTGAAAGGGATTGGCTTGACTTGCCCATTGTTAAACTTAAAGTGGGTCCCATGACATAAGATGCATTAGAGGGAACACTAAAAGAAACGCAATATTTCAGATGAAATATGCCAAAAGATATTTCTGTTTGGATAACAGTTGAGTGATCAAAAAGATATTCAAATAAGTCAATTTATGTCACTACCATTCCAAGAACAAGAAATTTCATCTTGAATTTTGTAAAGAAACATGTATTGCTTAAATAGCAAAAACAGATACCATAAATCATGTTCATTCAATCACCTAGTGGGGACAATTGGAGAAGTACTATATGCGGAGTTTAGTGTAAGAATCACCAAGGTGGCTATGCATAGCTGTAAACCCACCACTCTTTGTATCTCCCGCAACCCAGCATCCTAGTAGAGAACCCAGAGATAACATCTAGTCATTATCAATTAGCCCAACCAAGCACAATCTTATAACAAACAAATTCAGGTCAAGGACACACCTTTACACTGATGAGAAATAAACTGAATGACAACAGAGCTGACATTAGACAGTAAGAACATGATGCTCCAGCAAGCTTTGTACTTAGTATGTACAAAAAATATGCACTAGCAGCAGCCATAGAGGTAGTGCTCCCCAGTAATGCCAGACGACCATACATTTCATCAATCCCAAAAGGTAAGGTCTTTGCATTCAACTGCAGGCTAAGAGTCGTAACAAATCCATATGAAATCAATCCAATCAGAGGAAGAGGAACACCTGCCAAATGCAAAATCACTATCACTGAAATCCTCTTTCAAACATATTACCTGCAATGCCATCCATATGCCTTTTCCAGTCTAGTAGAAAACTCATTTGCATAACAATGAACCAGTTATCCTAATTGAGAATAAGAAATGGAGAATACTATATGCAACAGCACAACCCTTTGCATTTTAAACATAAGCCGAAGAATAACGGCCTCAGGCACACAGTATTGTTTTTCCCCTTTGAACTTTACTATCAATTTCCCTACTTCATATAGAATCAATCCTTGTAAGGGAATTTCTAATGCTCAATATTCAAAGCTGCTAAGTTGGAGAAAGTTATAAAGAAAAAACCTTTACATTACCTAACAAATTAGAGAACAGTTCAATTTAAAGCTTCAGCAGTTACAACCTCAAATGAAGAAACCCAGGTGAAAGGAACATACCAAAAATAACTGCATAATCACTGTTGAGGACATCGCCGCAATTACCACCGCCAACAGGACAAAACGCATCGGAATTACTGAGCTTGACGTAAGTTAAGTAGGCAGTTTCAAGGAACCCAACAGCTCCGATCCCTGCACACCATTTGTACGTGGAATTGCTTGAAGAAAAAGAACTTGAAGAAACAGTAGTGGATTTAGCTTCAGAGTCAGCATCCTGACTCGGCTCTGTTGACGAGCATTTAACGGGAACCACAAACAATCTCCGATTCGAAGCTCCCTTCTTCAAAGCAAAGATTGGAATCAAAATAAAGCAACAATGATTCAGAAAAACATGGGAAAAGAAAGTAGCAGAAGGAGAGGAAGGTAGTACCTTGAATTGGACTGTAGAAGAAATGGAGCGAAGAGGAGATACAGGCGGAAAGCAGCGACACAGGAACGGGGGAGACGATAAACCGGTGAAACTGGCCATCGTGCCGTCGTCCTCCGAATTCCGCACAGAAACAAGGTGGTCGAGTTTTCGCTATCTTCGGTCCTCAACTGAAACGAAAACCCAAATGTAATTGGGCTACAGGGCCCATTCAGGTCCAGCCCAACCCAAGACGAAGGCCCTGAACTCCGCCGTCTAAAAATCGATAACAGATTCACAGGTACATAAATGCGGGTTGATTTAATTTTAATCTGTTTTGAATGTGTTGATAGAATAGCAGTTGCTCGCAAAAGTTCGAGTTTATGGTATGAAAAATCAAGAAAACCCACTTCGTTTCTTTTCCATGTAATTTTCTTTTTTCTGTTGTGTATCTGAGGCGTAAAAGCAACCCCCGGGGGACACGAACTCCGGCGCCGGTAATCTTGGTGGCAAACGATTTTCTCCAACTGCATATAACTCTTATTATCAGGACGGAATTGCAATTGCAAAAACGTGAACTGCAGTCCGCCTACATTCTCATCGCATTATGCCTCAGGTGTTTATGTGGGGCCCTATAAGGTGCTGACATGGAATTCCGTTAAGAAAACTACGAGTTTGGGCTTTGGATGGATAAAGTACTTCTGATATGATTATATAAGTTTGTAGACCAGTTTGGTATGGAAAATAAGTCTATAGACTAAAGCGATAACAGATGTATAGTTAGTAGACCCAAAAATTAAAATTTGCGCTTCTTGATCTTGAAAACTCTACTAAAACATTGCCTGAAAACAAGGCTTACTTCAAATCAGACATTGAAAATGTGAACACGCAAGTTTTACAAACAGGCGAAAATGAAGAATGAAAAAGAAATGGTTGATTGCAAAAAGAAACTGTTAACGAGAAGGCTAAAGTGGGGTTCCTGCTCATGCATAATGCTGTATAATGCAAGAAGTACGGTGAGATCGCAAATGCAATCAGATTATGCGTGCCTTATCTGCAGCGTTCAGTTATTCTCTCTGACATTCAGTGGTGGCCCCTCATGATTGCTGAGAAAAAACTGCCGGGAGATTTACCCTTGCGGCCATCACCTCCCTCATCCGCTACCTGTTAAAAGAAAGAGGTTAATTGTTTAATGGCCCTCCTTTCACCCATATTATGGCAGAGTTAAAAGGCAAAATATACATTCAACTTTGTTTCTTTCAATGTGAAATTCTACAAAGTTACCCTTGTATGGGAAAGTTTGGGGAAAGTGTAAAAGGTTAATAAAGATTAAGGTGTTAAACTGTGAAATACTCAAATATATTTATTTTGGGACATTGAAAAAGAAAAAGAAGAGGATCAAGCAAGTACGTCAGATAAAATGGGATAAAGGCAGTAGGAGAAAGGGTTACTCTTGGGAGTATAGTACCTCCCTTGCTATTTGCTGAAGGATATCTATTATTTCAGAGAAATTGGGTCTTTGAGCTGGGTCCTGCTGCCAGCATCTCTCAAGCAGCTCTGCTAATCTTGGATGAGTGTGCTTAGGGATTGTAGGGCGTAGACCCTGAAATGAACGTCAATTCTAAGTGATTTGTCCTCATCAATGAGAAAACATTCCCTGTTCTTATTAATAGAAACAATAATACCTTTTGCACCACACTGACCGCTGCCTGTAGTGGAGTTAAATAAGCATATGGAAGCTGGCATTCCGATAAAAAATAAAGGCAATAAATAAGTCACAAAAATATATGCAATTTCAAGCCAACAGAAATTACAAGACAAGTGAAAGCTAAACAAAAGGCAATTACATACACGTGCAATCCTCCCAAAACAATAAGGCTTACCTCTCCTGTGAGAAGCTCCCAGAGTGCTATTCCAAAGCTGAAAACATCTGCCTTGTGATCATATGGCTTATGCTCAATCACCTATATTAATTCAGAAGCAAAATAATAAAGGCACTGTTTTTATTTCCCCACTAGAAAGCACATTCATGTCTCTGATAAGCAAGTAAAAGCCATTGGGTAGCCTAAACAATCAAATAGAGAGGAATTGATAACGTTATATAACACAGCCATATAATCAGCAAACATAGAGAATATCACTAGAGATGTAATTCCTAATGGTCAAGACACATAAACCCTCTATCCTTGAGAATTAAAAGATGTTGGAAAGAAGAGAGAGAAAAAAAGACAAAAACAGAAAAATTGCATGAAATATGATCTAAGTTGCAAATTACTGTCATGAAAAGAATATGCACAAGAAACATCATGTCCAAGAAAAGTGCATACCTCAGGAGCCATCCAGCGGTATGTTCCAGTTTCAGCTGTCATCACTCCTGATTGAGACTGCACCCTGGCAACCCCAAAATCTGCTACTTTAACAACCTGTCAAGGACAGACCAACAGTTACAACACTAACAAAAATAAGTTCTCTACCTTCATTCTTCACAAATTATTTAACCATAATGACTGGTATGGTTTAAACTTTACCAACTGCAACCAGGTTCACCAATATCACTATATGAAGAA